AAATTCTGTTGTCATCCCTTTCTTTCCATCAATTAGCTATAAAGTTGCACATATTTTGCAGAAATTTAGCTTCGGGTTGTTTATTCTCCCATCAATAAAATTCCGAGTTCCATACACAAGGACCCCATTTCGGATATGAATTCCTGGGGTATTTATAGGATTCCTTGCCAGTGTGGTTTAATTTACATTGGCCAAACTAAGAGAGCCTTAAAATTTTGCGTCAAGGAACATGAGGTATATGTTAGAAAAAAGGAAACACAGAAGTCTTCTGTTGCTCAACATTGTTGGTCCGAAAATCACACTTTCAACTTTTCTGCTGCCAAAATTATTCAAAAAACATTTTCCGTTGGAGAACTGGATTTTCTAGAGGCATTTCACATTTAAAAAAATCTTTCTGTTTCTTTGTTGTTTGACTTCTGAATTAGTATTTATTCGATGTGTTATTGTGTCTTAATTTTAAATTAATATTTGTTCGGCGTGTTATCGTATCTTAATTACACATAACTGTCTTCTCAGGTTTGCTTCCTTGGGTGCCAATATAGAAATGCCTATAGGTTTAGATCCCTACTGTTTTAGAATTCAAGATGCCATATATCATCGAGCAAACCACCTTTATCCACCTCATCCTGATCCAGAAAAATATGCCCAGCTGTATATTTTAGATTCAAATCAAGCCTTCAGGCAGAAAATGAATGTCAGTACAAAGTCCGAAATCCGGACGTCCATTATCTGGAATGATCTAAAATACGGACCTCAAAACCAACAACGTTTTCTCGTAGGCTTTAGGCATGCGCAATTTTATCCACCTCCCCCTCAGCGAATAATAAAACATCTGGAGAGTCCCGATTCTTAATTTCACTTCGACACTAAATAAAATACCTTGTTTTTTTAAGAAACAATCATTTTAGCATAAATTTGTACGATCGGTAATTTGGCTCCGTTGCTACATATCTGCTTGGCATACATCTCAAACCGAAATACTCCACATAGATACATCGTTGATCTGACGCCAACCTGGCAAATCATTATTTATTATACTTTCCTTTCATCACCGCATGTTTATCAAAACATGACAACTTGAATAATGACTAATGTAGTGATGTCCCAAACAATTTTTTTAATGCTTAGTAATTGAATAATAAAAGGAGTATTGTAATCTTTGATGTTGACATTACGCTTGCTGATGATTACAGATTTAAGTTAAATGCACTAAAATAATGTTGACGAAGAAAAAATTTAACAAAAATGTTCTTTCCATGCATGCTGAAAATAGATTTTGTTGATGACATTCATAGACCCAAAGTTTACATTTAGGGCTATTTGAATTAAGAAAAACGGATTTGTTATTCAACATAAACCCAGAACCAGCACCAGCGGCTTATATGGTCGCGCATCGGGTCGATAATTTATGACCCACAGAAGACTCCATCAGGCAGTAAGACATCTATCTAGCACCGGCCTTCAATAAGGCCTTAAGTATATGTGGGAATTTATTTATTCATAACTCTGATAAGCCTTAGCATGTGCAAGAAATAGACATAAATATAATAAGTAACTAAACGAATACAATTCAGGCTTAATTGTCTCAGTGCGCGATAGAAGCGAGAGATAAAATTTAACGGAACAACTTGTCGTTAGTCGCCAAGCTCCTGATGCATAGCCAAGTATGTATAGTGAAGTGATAGTTAAATTAAGGACGAAGTCAGAAATTACATATCAGCTGAACGAAGAGGCAGAGCGGACAGAAAGACCAATCAGGAGATTAAGTAAGGTGTGTACGGTAGCACATGCGCAATATGCAGGTAGACGTAATGGGGGAGTGTCTGAGTAGTATAAAGCATGTTGCGGTTGTAAGATCAGTATTTCTGGCAAAGAGATTGCACGCCGTAATATAGCAGTCAAAATCACACCAAGTTGCTGCCTCAGCGAGAAGTGGCGAATAATCAATCTGTTAGACGACATCTGGATGCTTTTACCCGAGGTCGAATCATTGGGATGTTGGAGAAAGGCCGCAGTGTGACAAGTGTGGCTGCAGAGTTCGGAATTGCTTACAGCATCGTTTCACGACTTTGGAGACAATTTCAAACTACAGAAACAGCTATCCAGGGTTTAGTAGTGGTCGTCCACGAGGAACCACACCCGCAGGTGACCAGTATATTGCCTTACAGGCCAGAAGAAACAGGTGGCAGACAGCGGGAGAAATCGCTAGACACACGACACATGCGACTGGACGACTGATATCGCGTTTTACCAATGCCAGAAGACTGCACGGTGGTGGTCTGTTAGCACAACGCCCTGTACAGTGTGTACCTCTAACGCCTTCTCCGATGGGAAGGCGTTCTCTGTGGTGCCGGGAACACCGGAATTGGAGAGACAATGAATGGGGACGAGTACTCTTTACAGATGAGAGCAGATTCAGTCTGAGTAGCGATTCTCATCGCATTACTCATCTGGAGAGAGCGGGGAAGCCGCAATCATCCCTCGAACATCATTGAAAGGGACAGGTATGGAGGTGGCGGTGTTCTCGTTTGGGGAGGCATCATGCTTGGTAGTCGTACAGACTTTCACATCTTCGACGCAGGTTCAGTCAACGGGACCCGTTATTGTAACGAGATTCTTCTTCCATATGTGTGTCTTTTTAGAGGCGCTATGGGTCCGCAGTTCCTTTTCATGGATGACAATGCACCATGTCATCATACAGTAGCTGCCGAACAGCTCTTAGAGAGTGAGGATATTGAACGTATGGATTAACCGGCACGATCTCCGGATCTCAATCCCATCGAGCATGTATGGGATTTTCTAGGCAGACGTTTGGCAGCTCGTACCTTACCAACAGTAATGATTCCGGAGCTTCGATTGGCACTGCAAGACGAATGGGCAGCAATGCCTCAACAACTCATTGACACCCTAATTCTCAGCATGGGCAGACACTGTGAAACCTGCCTAGCAGTCATGGGAGATCATATCCCTTATTAAAGACCGGATGTTTCTTGCTGGACACCCATCACAGGGATGTTTCGGCCTTCAGTCGCATTGCGCTCCATGCTACTTTTTCAATAAAGCTTCTTTTTATCCCTCTGATTTCTTTTTAGTAAGTGTTGCTTACATTACTCATGTCCTTACGTATTGGGATCTTACGGTATTAAATGTGTTGATTTGGAAAGCTTTTGTACAAAGTTATATTGAAAAAACCGTCTCGTCCTTAATTTTTGCACACCAGTGTATAGTGAAGGATAGCTAAATTTGATGATGATAGCTGCTAATTTTAAAGGTTTTTGGATATCACAAAACAAAGGTGAAATTTTCCAATTAACGGATTTTATAAAGAAAGTGGAGAAGCGGTAATAAATGAAGATGATGTAAAAGAAGTTTTTATATCATGAATGGCGAAATCTGTAGTATAATTCTAGATCCAGAAAATACTGCTATCGATAATGAAGAAAGTGACAGAGAAGTTACAGAAAACCAAAAATTTCGATTGACAAGTTAGTCGGAATTCTGGAAACAGTAGTTGCAGAACTTCAATAATGTAACTAAACAAGAGATTCTGTCTGTCTACAGAATTAAAGAAAAAGTATTAGCACAAAAAACGAAGCAACTTAAAACAACTTACATTGAAAGAAATGTTTAATAAGATAAACAAATAAATAAAGCTTTCTTTTTTTGTAAATTTTGATACCCTTTAAACTGTAGATACTTCATTATTTCATAAATCACGATTTTATTGTTTTAATTTTATAATTTCTACATCTTCTACATGCCATCTTACTAAATTTAAACTGATGATTTATTATCCGGAAAATTCCTAAATCTGGAATCGCCAAAGTCCCAATGAGTCCGAATATTTGACTTTGTACTGTACTTGGAAATGTCGCTCTGAATGCTGAACTGCTGACACAACTGGATGTAGTTTTAAGGAATGTGAATCCATATGCAGAAGCCTACAAGATGCTGAAAAAAATTTGAAAAAGGAACTCTACAAGAGCAACGTGCTGAAACTACTGCTGCTATCCATATGTACATCAAGGATGAAAGTGTTGTTACAGGTGAGCACAAAGCTCCAAAAGAAAATGAAGTTGCAGTGTTTTTCAAGAGTGCAGATTGCATTATCCATCGAACAGAGATATTGCAATACATGCAAGAGATGTTGGTCTCATTAATATCAGTACTTTAAATTTAACTTGGAACCCATGATGTGTGTACTTTTCTTTCCTCATGATGATCAAGGATTCAGAGTTGGACATCAGTACACAGAGTAGCAGTTTTATAGTCACAGAGTGTCCATACAAAACATTGGTACAATCTTGTTTTTTATGGTCAAGGGGAAAATGAAAATATTTTAGCATTATATTTTTAAACACAATTTTTATATATTATCATACTTTTAACAGTATTTACCAATGTTATTTTGTTAAAAAATTTGCGAATCAAAATTTTTTATACAACTTGATCTTAAAATCACCAAAATGTTGGTAAGTCACCAAATTTAGTGTCGCATTAACGAATATAATCATTTCGAAAAAAAATCTCAAAAGAGAAAAGTTGTTTTTGATGTATTATATTATGAAACCTTTATTCACAAAAAAGAAATAATTTTGAAATGTTAATGTTTCGTCTGAGGTAAGGCCTCATGCCCAGAAACTCGATTATTTTCCCGTTTATATTAAAAGTAAGAACGAATTCAAATAACCCATCAAATATATATTTATTTCTCAATGAATTGCCAAAAAAATATTCCTTCAATTCACACTCAAAATGGCAGTCGTAAAAATGAGATAGAAATGTCAGATAAATAAAATTAAGAACCTTTTGCAGATTAGAGCTGAAATAGAGGACTTTTAAGAACCAAAAATCATTAAAAAAAATCCTAAGGACTTTTGAGGACGTATGAATCCTATTATTACATGTTGGCTAAACATTACATCAGAGAAGAATAAAAGAATAGGATACAAATAATGACAATACATTTTATGGTATTTTTCATAAGTATAAAAACTCACCTGTCCACCGAGATACTGGGCTGCTCATTTTTATCTTTTCATGCAAGTCTTCAGCAACAAAAGTTACCATATCTCCATCTACCGTTAGGGTACCCTGAAGTTCTGAAAGGCCACTTGTATCACTGTTTGTCCTACCTCGTCCAGAACAATGCAGAGCAAATTCTTCTGAACTGACAGAAGGAGATACTTCATCACTTGTGCGACCATCAGATGTTTGTTGACTTTTGTGAACCTGCTGTACATATGTTGATTCTTTGTCTGAAGCAACCAACTCATCTGCTGAAAAATTAGATGAACTTTTTATCAAGACTAAACTATCAGGTCTCTTATTTTCTCTCACAGCTTCTTCATTTGCACACTCTTCACCATTTTCATTTGACTGTTTCTCATCTTCTCTGCTGTCCTGAAAATCACTATTTTTTGCACAAGAAAGGAGTTCACGATCCAATGATATTTCCCCATAAGAACCAGTCATTACATCTTCCTCAAACTCTTCTTGTTCTGAGTCCTCATGATCATTTTTCTCATCAGGTTGCAGCCCAACAGTCACATCTTCACTTCCAACAGAATTTAATAATTTTTCTTGAACTGCACATGTAGTATTTGAATTTCCAAGATTCCCTTCTTGTTTTAAGGAAGTGTTGTCTAAGGCTGCACACACAATTTCTTTCTCACTCATTACGTATCTGAAAGAAATTCTTTTTATGAAACACGTGTAATTATTAGGATTTTAATTATGTATTAAAGGTTATTAAGTCTATGCAAAAGACATTTTATGGAAGACACACTGTATTACTTTGAATTTAAGCCACCCTTGATTTTAAGTTGCAATATGATTTTAAAACTGAAAATAATAATAATAAAAATTACCTGCCTTCAAATTTAAGCCCACCAGGATTTTTAAACTGAAAAACAGAGTAACAAATAATAACAAAAAACATTTTATAATCTGCATTGAAAAATGCCTTAAAATCATTTTCAGATTTCAGATAAAAATTTGAGACAATTTTTATGTTGTTATATTTAATAATTTAAAAGCTCGACTTGACAAACTACTGTAAATAATATATGCTTATTGCTCAGTGTTACATTTCCAGTAACATTAACCATGCATTTAGTACTCTTAGAATCAATACAAATATGCCATTATACTACCCGTCACTATTAATGATATCAGTCACACATTTCAGTACCAAATTTTGTAATAGAAATATATTCCTGGAAAAGAATTTTGTCAGGAATATATTCTCAAGTAATTCATATATATTTCTAATATTTTTATAGCTATGTAAAAAAAGTTAATAAAAATATGCAATATAACAGAAAATTCTATAGTTCTAATAATTTTTATAGCTATGTAAATATAAAGTTCATAAAAATATGCAACAGAAAAGAAACTGTCTTCATATATGGTCACTTGTTACTATTTACTCCAACATTTTTTACTAATTCATTTCATTCCCCCCTCTTTTTTTGAGGGTAGGAAAGCATCACTTTTTGAAGTTATTGCTTCCTTAATTCTTAAATATATTGCAGAATATGTAAGTTCATAAAATTAGTTTAACACCTTTTGTAATTTTAAATATAAATTTCTAACTCAATTGTAAAAGTATATTCCTGATATGATACAGTAAGAAAGTGGTATAGTAAGTATTTAAAATAAAATAGATAAATAACCTGTCATACTACAGATATTTCAAAAAGACTGCATGACTTAACATTTCTACTAATTGGTTATAGACCCATGATGCTAGATTAAGAAAAAAATAACACACAGCAATGGTTATTCAGACTACAACAATTATCGTCTTATGATACCATTTAGTAAATGATATAGAAAATTTAAATAGTCATTGTTACAGATATATTAAGGGTTGTCTCTTGTTACCACAGGCTTCAGTTCAGAAATATTGTAAAATCGTAAATACCTTTTATGGGCCATTCAGCGCAAAAGATCAATGGCTTTTCTCTCTTCCCCTAATAACATCACTTGCAAAATTTTTACACAATGCATTTCACATTTTTTCAAATTCAGAATAAGGATGTTTTTCTTTGGAAAGGGTGAAAAGATATCCTTCAATCTACAACTTGTTTATATGAAATATTTTGAAAGAAAAATATATTTCAAAGCATCAGACAATATTTCTCACACAAATTATACATTCTTAGCAGTAATTTTCATTCCATAACATCTACGTATTTTTAATCCTTTATCAAAATCACTCTAAAAATGTGTTAACGTTTCTCTAGTTAGATATGTAAGTTCCAATATAAAAATTAATAAATGAAGACATCGTTTGTACACACTTCTGAACATGGAAATTAAGTACTTTTGAGCACAATTAATGAAAAACATTAAGGACCTGTCAGCAAAGGAAACTGAATAAACTAAGCAGTTATCAGTATCCAAACTTCCCTTATGTAATACCATTTTAAAAATAAAATAAATCTGTAAATAGGATGCAATATTATTATGTATAATCTAATAGTTATTTATCAAACAAATTCAAGAATAAAATTTGTAGAGGTATTAGGCTATTTCGAAGCTGGAAAGATGAAAAATGAGCAATGGCCTCGCTGGACTAGAATCACAGACCTCTCAAATTCATGTTGAGCGAGCTGACCACTACACCGTGAAGGCATGCTAACAAGGTCGGAGAAATACCTTATAAATTAATTTCAGAATTTTTTCAAGTAATTAACATTAAATTGTAAAATTTAGTAGTCCCACATATTTTAAAGAAGATTTGTTTCGTAGCAGCAACAGACAACAAAATGTTTATGCGGCTTTTTAATTTGAAAATTTTCCAGATATTTCAGCTAATCATTTTCCCTTCTCTTTAGCATTCCCCCCCCCCGAAGTTTATTTGTTTCAATAAACAAATCAATGTTTCTCCTAGTCATGGCCTTTTATTTAAATTTTACTAACAGTCTAACTAGGTTTTATAATTCTTTCTTTTATGCCTCATTTCATCACACAATCACTCAGTCCAGAGATATATACAAAATTCATGTCAAGTAGCATAAGTTGAATAGTGAAGTAAAATAATACTCAGTATAGTTTATAATAGAAGCTTGCTGGTTACCACCATAAAAGCTGATTGCTTAGAAACAGAGAGTCGCTAAGCATAACAGTTGTGAACGTCTGATGTTGGTATGGTTGCAGGTGTTGAAAGTTAGCAGCACTTTTATCTAACATGATTATCTTCATGCATATTTTCTAGAGGTTTAACCCAGTTAATATATAGTATTTATTAGAAAAGTTCCAATAAGCCATTAAAGCACCATTAAATAGGTTTTGTATTACAGTATACTCCTGATTATCCGCACCTGCTGCACAGTTTCTTTTTTTTTTTTTTTTTTTACAGGCGTTAAAGCAAAGAAAATAAAAATTTTCACAAAACTGAGCGAAATGTTCAATTTGCTAACATCGTGCTTATTTATGGCAAAAATATCCCAGGCCTTCTCGGAACCTTCCCCTCTGATGAGTACGTGATTTCTTACTCACCCTTGCAGTGCCCGCTCCACCGCCCTCTCTCGTCTTAATCTTACTGACACGTCCACTTTCTCCCACTTGCCATTGTTTGTTTAAGCCTGATAGTGTTTGCGAACTGGTCGGAGTTAATTTCTTATCTTTTATTGTGTTCAGTGCTTGTGCTTTTCGTTACCGATTTAAAATGTCAGGAAAACAAAAGAAGGTTGTGCTGGCAATTGCGCAAAAACTAGAATTAATTTCCAAAGTAGCAAACAGCGATACAAGGTAGCAGATGGAACTGGATTATGAAATATTGGAAACAACAGTGCGGGACATTATAAAACAAAAAGACAAACTGCTGAACTTTACATCAATGTCGGACAATGCTTCCGCATTGAAAACGCGAAAAACTATGAAGGGTTCTACCTTTGATGAGCCAGACACGGCATTGACAGAGTGGTTAGCTCAAGTTCGAAAAGAGAGTACTCCTGTAAATGGTCCTAGCATTGAAGCGAAGGCAAAAACCTTTTCTGAGTTGTTAGGCCTGAAAGGAAATTTTGAAGCATCTTCTTGCTAGTTGACTCGTTTTAAGCAGCGACATGGAATTCGAGAAATTTGACTTCATGGGGAGAAAGTTAGTGGTGACCAACAAGCACCCGACGATTTCCACCATGAATTTGAAGAATTTGTTTTAAAAAAAGAGCTATCTTTTGAACAAATTTACAATGCCCACGAATTGGGACTTTTGCGGAAATGTCTTCCCACTCGCACTTTAGCATTTGAAAGTGAAAGTAAAGCGGCGGGTTGCACTTTAGCATTTGAAAGTGAAAGTAAAGCGGCGGGTCATAAAAGCAGCAAGGAAAGGATCACTATCATGTCTTGCAGTAACGCTACCCGTGGACATAAATTTAGACTTATTGTCATTGGAAAGTAAAAAAAAAAAAAAAAAAAAAAAAAAACAGAGACTTTTTAAAGGCACGTGGATAGAAAATTTAACCAAAAATAAGGATGGATGAACCGAAACATTTTTCAAGAATGGTTCGAAAAAATCTTTGTTCTTCAAGTGCGTAAACATCTTAAATCGTAAAACCTGCCTGAAAAAGCTGTGCTATTGATCGACAACGCATCTTCTCACCCAGCAACAAGCATGCTAAAGTCTTCTGATGGACAAATTTTTGCAAAGTTTTTCCATTCAAACATTACTGCGCTAATCCAACCCATGGACCAAGAAGCCATTGCAACAATGAAGAGAACATACCGAACCAAGCTGCTAATGACCAAAATTGAAGAAGGTTATGATCTGAAAGAGTTTTGGAAACATTACACAATCTTGGACAGCATCTATGATATTGCATCTGCATTGGACTCAGTGAAACCATCAACCCTCATAAAATCATGGAGAAAACTGATGCCTAATGTTGAAGCCAACAACAACCTAACCCCTTTGAGTTGTGAAGAGAATGAAGATGTAGACACGCCCACGGCAACTCTTGCCAATATGGTCAGAGCAGTTCCGGATGGTGAGAACGTCGATGCTGAAAACATTAATGAGTTGTTGGAGTGTGACATCAATGAAACTCGCTTCGAAAGCTTGACAGATGATGAAATTGTGAGACCGAGAATGAAGGACAGCGAAGTGAAGGCGAAGAGCCCCCTATGCAGATGCGGAAGACTCACGAAGGGGCTTTGCAACAAGTCGACGGACTGCTGAGCTATTTGGAAAAACAAGATGACGCGGAGTTGGCCGAGGAACTTATGCTACGAAAAATGCATTCTCCGATCAAGAGAAAATGCTTCCAAAGCAAGAAGCAAACACAAATGACTGATTTCTTCAAAAAGGTGTAGTTTTACAGTTATGCTTTTGTAATTACATAATACATTACAGTATTAAAACAGTACATATGTATTAATTTTTTTTCTGTGTATCCTTGACGCCTCTCGTAAGTATACAAAGCACTTTTCTGTTTTCATTAACAAAATGCATTTTAGGTTAGTTTTGAGTGATATACTAAAATATTAAGCGTTAGTTAAACATTTTCTGCTGTTTATTTTATGTTTTATTGTACGTAAAACGATTTTTCAAAGTTGGAATGACTGTTTTCTCTTTTGCTATACCCGTTTTGAGCTTTTTTCGGATTATCCGCGATTTTTGTTATCCGCGTCGGCCGCGCCACCCAATTCCTCGGATAATCGGGAGTATACTGTGTTTGT